AGTAATAAAAACTCGATCAATAGAAGCTAAAATTAAATAAAATGCACTTAAACAATCAAATAATAGTGATGCATATAAACGTAAACGACAAATAATTAAATTGTATACACTTGGATTAACATTATATCCTGCACTAAGTATTAAAGCTAATAATGACGAGTATATATAGAAAAAATTTGCAATATTAAATGCAATAAAATAGATTGAACATGGATTTTTTCGAAGAGATTTTTGTGAAAAAACAATTAGATTGATCGTACAACCAACAGTACCAATAACCATTAAAACTGGACCACCAATTTCATACAAATAATATATAACTGAATTCATTATAGCTATTAAACTGGACAATGATGATTGCATAGACATAATAACAAGTAAAAGAAATGAACTTTTCTAGTATGGTTATTGACAGAATAAGAGTCATTAAAAAAAAAATAGGAATCTCTATTTTTTTGACATTAAACTTATGAGAGCGTAATAAACTCATTTTCTTTCTACGTTTCAAGCATAAACAAAAAATGTCAAGCGAAAACGAATACAATAAAGTACCAAGTTAAATGTCATTTTATATTAGGAAAAGCATTCACTACATATTACATCAAGCGATAAAAAAACATAAGCTATTCGGGTTTTTTATAAAAACAAAGAGATTTAGATCATTAGTAAATCATTTTTTGACTTCAGAGTGATTCTAATATATGCTCGTTTATGTAGATATTTTAAGAACGATGTCGATAATATTTAATCAAATTATGCTATATCACATTAATTTCCGGTTAATTAAGATTCAAACTTGTTCCTAAATTATAATTGCATAGTGATTTGAATTTCCAAAGAGATCATGTAGTAATAGTTTAAATTCTTGCATTCTTTTTTCATCGATTAAAGGATAACATAGCGTAAGGAAATGTCAAAATATTATAATAAAATATAGATGAAAATTTTTCAAGCAAATCAATATTATGTTTTATATAGAAATTAGTAATTCAAGGTAGAATCTAGCGATCATTAAATTATTGTTATTAATAAGAGAATAGTATTCAGTCTACCATGTATTGATAGCACGACTTTACTCATCTTTTCTATATACTATTTGTGACAATATCAGTCACGAGTAGCTTACGGCATATTTTAACGAGGAAAACAGTTCCTTTTTTTTCCTCTAATCAGTGAATGGTGCATACCATTCTCTTCTACTAAATCATTCTGCCTTTTACTGCCATCGTGCTTATTTCTCTTGATTGTTTTTGTCAGATTTTCTCATAGCAGTCAATACAATGCTTTTGAACATGTATATCATAAATTTACTTCTAAGTTGAATGAGTTTTATCTATCACCCGTTCTATAGCATTCTAAAAGGTTGTCTAATAAACCTATTACAACTGTTAGATTCTACTTCCCGGTAAAAATTACAAAATGTCAAGTGTATTCATTCGTACCCATTAATTTGTATATATTCACATTATATTTATGTGATTGATGAAAAAATATATTATCTATTTTTTTTGCACTATCATCTTCTCCATATAAATTACGATCAAGAATGCAAATTGAAAAAAAACAAGCTATTTTGGTATGTGTCCGAGTTTAGGCAGTTCAGTGAATTCATGTGATTTATTTTTTTGATGATGTTTCGTATACAACAACTTATTCAATTGAAATTTTTTGATATAGTTCTCTCGAGTAGTGAACGTGTGCATTCTTTATAAAAATTCAGTTTTGAAAATAAATATGTTTTCTAGATGACAATAATATTATTATCCATATTTATTTGATTAACACATTATTCTCGATTTTTATATATTGCAACTTGAAATATTTCGAAGGAAACAAGAAATAAAAACAAACTATTGGTCATTTCAAAGAAATACATTATGTGTCGATACGTATTCATAGTACACTTAAATGAGATAAAATAAAATTGTAAGGTAGATGCTTTGACAATAACAAATAGACGTATACACACAAAATTCAAAATTGATAATTAAGATAAATATACCACTGTAAAGCTGTACAGAAAAAAAATGAGAGAAACAAAGAAGAAAAATGGAAATACGAACAATATTATCAGAGAAAAAAAAAATACGTAATGAGACTCGTATTGCTTCACAGTATACAATAATTTCACTGTCGAAGGCAGACTAAAACGAAACAAAGGTCATGAAAATAACAACATTTAACTACAATAACGAATTTAACAGGCACAAGCTGCCTCTTCTTGAGTTGATGGTGCCGGAGGTGGTTGTCGTACAGGAAATATCGATTTATCTATACAAAATAACAAAAATAGTTAATTAAGAGAGTAAACAATATATGAAACTTGAAATGTTCCATTGAATCTATTAGTAAAGAACTATATGCTAGAATAATCGTATTATACAATAAAATATTTAAAAAGTTAACTGATTCAACATTTAAGACGCATTTTGAAATTAATACTAAATGTTTAAGCAAAAAACTCAAAGAATTAATCCAATAGTTTATTCCGGTTGCAAATGGAATCACTACAGATTGTTTCAATTTTCAATTGATTCTTTCTTTACTCTAAATCTGTCCTTGTCTTATCGAAGTGAAATCCATTAGATAAAAATTTTGTTATATAATATGTTAATATAAGAAAATGTCAATCATTTATTTGACTTACCAATCGTTTTTTCCATTCTTAACATAACTCTTTCTAATAGCATTTCAATACTTTCTTTAACATTTTGTGCTGTAAATGCACTTGTTTCAATATATGGTAAAGCATATTTATCGGCTAATTCTTTAGCTCGTGTTTGGGAGATAACACGTGCTTCTTCACGGTCAGCTTTATTGCCGACAAGTATCACATCTGGATCTTCACAATAAGCATGACATTGCAATTGAGCAAGCCAATTGCGTACATTAAGAAACGATTGTTCAGATGTTAAATCAAACATTAAAACAAAACCCATAGCATCACGGAAAAATGCCGTTGTTAGACTTCGAAAACTAGACAAACAAAAAAAGAAATGGCGTTTTTCTTCTGATAGAAAGGAAAAGAATTTATTTGCTATTACCGTTCTTGTCCTGCCTAAGAAAATAGAAAAACAAGTAAATAAAATTGACAAATAAAATAAAGAATATTTATTTTACCGTATCCCATAGTTGTAGATGAATTCGATATGGTTTGGCATTAGGCGGAGTTTTCGGTCGATAAACGACACGTTTTTCACGAAAATCAATTCCAACCGTTGAAATAAATTTCGGATTAAATTGTCCATCTGTATATTGATAAAGAAATGTTGTTTTACCTAAATAATAGAATAAAAAAACAATTTTGTAATTTTCTGTTATAAAAAAAGGAACATATGTTTCTTACCAACACCAGAATCTCCTAATGCAAGAAATTTGATTAAATAGTCATATTCAATTGATGAGGTTATCATTGAGTCACCCATTGTTGTTGTTGTTTTTTCTGTAACGCCACCAGCACGCGACGACTGATGGAACGACGTCGTGCTCTCACTGTCACGATTTTTTCTACAATAGAACGATCGAAGAAAAGAAAAATAAGAAAAAAAAACTTGTTTTGTTCTAATCTATCTCGTTTCACTCGGTTGTACTGATTATCATGCTGATTGTTCGTTGAAGATTGACATCATAAGAAGAAAAAAAAGAAAAAGAAGAAGAAGCAAAAAAAAGAAACATAGGGAAAATTGACTCTAACTGTCATGCAGTCGTTTTAACCACTGACCGACTGCAATTCTACATAAACGAATACGATCGACAAGAGAAAGATATGTCATCATCAAGCTTCTTTTTCTTTTTTTTTCTTTCTATCCTCGTTTTTTTTCTCTTAGTTTGTCATCGTGTGTGTAGACTCATAAAAAAAGAATTCTAAGAGGAAAAAGAATAGATGCTAATAGACAGCGAGTAAAAACGAGGAAAAGGAAAAAAAAGTGGTGACATTACTGAATGTAAGAGTGAGTGATTCCCAAGAGAGAAACGAACAAACGGGAATTGCCTACGCGAACAACATGTCATCATTTGTCGCTAGCTATCTATCTATGGTCTTGTTATATGATATGAAAACAAGAGAGGAAGGATGTTTGTAGGCGACGAAAGGGAATCGACAAAAAAAAAGAAGAAGAAGAAATTCAGTCATCATTATCATCTATCTGTTCTAAATTCAAAGAAAAATAACAACAACAGAACCAACATAATATAGAACAAAAACAAAAAACTTAACAACAATTAAATAAAATGAACAAAAAAGAAAAACAAACTGTTCTTGCTATTATAAAAATATTTACAATGTCAAGTATCCATTGGTTCTCCTTCAAAAACTGGTCCAATCGAATTGCTAGTTGATGTATTGGAATTAGTACGACTGAAGTCTATATAATATAATCATATTATTATATGAATATTCATTGAAAAAAAAAAAACTACGATCTTACTTTCGAATGTTGACACAAGAAATCTCATGAGATCAGACATAGAAAAAATACCTACAATATGTTGATTATCATCAACGATAATCAAACGATGCACCTAAAAAGAAAAATATATGAATCATATTTCATAAAATATTCTATTTTTATTCAATGCGTCATTCTATTATTATTATAAAAAGAAAAATAGTAGACGGAACTCTTTTTTTTCTTTTTCTTTTTTGTATCCTCAAACGACTAATAAGAATAACAATATATCTATTCACCTCTCGAGTAACGAATTTATCCATTAATTCAAATAATTGATCTGTCATTTTACAAGTTACTAATTGATGAGTATTATGATCATGTATCAAATCTAATATATCACATAGTGGAACATCAAGATTCGTATAAGTATGTGTTGCTGCTAAATGCTAGTAAAAGAAAACATAATAAATTATTTTGATTAAAAAAACAGAAAAAATTTCTTTACCATTATATCAAATTTTGAATAAACATCACGTAATCTTTTTTCACTATCAACAACTGGTAATGCTGATATACGTAAAGATTGAAATGTACGAAGAACTTCTATTAATTTTGTTTGTAAATCAATCTAAAAGAATATTCTATGTGGTTATATTAAAGAATAATAATAAATTACATCATTATAGAATTTTAAATATATTATCAATCAACTTATACAAAAAAAACTTAATCTTCTCATTTGTTTTTATTAATTGTCTGACTTCGTATGCGCTCTTGCTTTATAAATATATTCTATGACATTATAATGAATCAATAATTAAAATAAATATAGTACAGAAAAATGGCTTTCATAAATAATCTATTCAATAAGCAATTTCAATACTTGATTAAAAAAAGAAGAGATAGTATTCATATTTTTAATGACATGTAGTGTTTTTGACGTCAAAAGAAATGAATAAAATATTTTAATCA